ACGTGAGGCCATCCAAGGGTGAGTGGCCGAGTACTCCATTTTCCCGAGTCTCTTTACTTGTCGCTGGTTCCTAGGTGTGTGGTTCAGTATGATTATTAATACCACTCACGCCTGAAATTATGGACGGATCGTTGCCTAGGAGACCGATTATCAAACGCAGGATTGCTCCTGGGAGTACATCCACGCTGAATCAGCTAGCTACGCTATGATCCTTCAAGATCGTGATGTGTTTTAGCGCGCTAGAGAAGAACTGAATAAATCAAAATTCAGCGGGTATTATTTTTTTCGCTGGATTTTTCGTGGGGAAAATGGATCATAAGTTGACTCTCACTGCTAGAAAAGCGCTGAATTTTCATTTTCCTTGTGCTTGAAATGTTATTGTAGTTATTCGTAGATCTTGGTCTCTCACCTATGGCTATCTCCTTGTGTAAGCGGTCTCTGCTATTACTGACTTTCTCTGTGCTTACTTGTTGTCTTTCCTCATCTGTTCAAGAGGACTATCGCCGATATCTTGTGGGCGTTAGTTCCGCAGTGCATCATGATGAAAATTCCGACGCTACCGGTATTGCTGTTGATCAGCGTAAGCTAGCTGGGGCTGTCGATTGGGACGCTTATTGTCGCGAGGAGGTTGGTGCCGCATCGTATTGCAAGACTTGGGCCAATGATCCAGTTTGTCAAGGGTCTGTCGTGAAGTGTGGTGACGGTGTAGTGGTTACGTCTACCGCTCCAGTAACTGTTACTTCTACCGCTCCAGTGACTGTTACTTCTACCGCTCCAGTAACTGTTACTTCTACCGCTCCAGTAACTGTTACTTCTACTCCTAATGTTGTGTCTACCACCAAGGCAGGTGGTGACACAACTTCTGTCCCAACGACTACATCTGGCTCGGCTCCTTCGACTACGACCAGCGGCGGAACCGTGAATTGGGACGCATATTGCCAGAAAGAAGTGGGACCTGCTTCCTATTGCAAGACTTGGGATAATGCACCAGTGTGCCAAGGCTCTACAGTGAGATGTGGTGACGGTGTGGTATTAACTACAACAGCTACTGTAACTACCGCTTCAACGACTCGAGCGCCCACAACAGAGGTTTCTAGTACGACAGCGTCGACGATTGCTGTAACTACTACTGGTACCAAAACTGCTACTACTAATTGCTATGAAAGTGGTACGTGTGTTCCTGACGTCCAAGGAGCTATAGATGCCATACGCTCTCTGATAGGCAATAATTATGTTGATACTGGCAGTGATATGCCCGAGGTCTTCATGCCACAGTACACTAGTATTACTCCTGCTGCGGTGGTCAGTCCCGGTAACGATGACGAAGTCAGACAAGTCTTGCAGATTTGTTTCGATCACTATGTCGATTTCGTTGTCCGTAGTGACGAGGGCAACTCTTTCGCTGGTCAGAGCACCGTACAAGATGGTATCGTCATAAGAATGAATCGGCTCACTTCTGTCGAGGTCGAGAGAAGTGGTTTCTTAAGCAGTCAGTACGTTGCCAAGATAGGTGCTGGCACCAGACTACTCGAGGCTTATACGAGGCTGTATGATCATAACCCACCACTGAGTGTCAACGGTGGTAGTTGCCCTGGAGTATCAGTGTCTGGTTTAACCCAAGGAGGTGCCTATGGGTATTCCAGCACTATGTGGGGTATGCTTGCTGATCATGTTCTTGCTGTTGACATAATCGTTCAAGAGAACGGTGGTCCATTCAAGCTAGTACATGCTACTACTACCAATGAACACGCTGATCTTGTGAAAGCCCTTCGTGGTGGTATGGGTGGTAACTATGGTGTTGTCACTATGTGGTATTTGAGTGCCATAAGAGCCAGCGAGAAGGTCTACATCTACCGTGATAGGCTTGCTCCTAATACTAAGTCGAAGGCAGATATCATTGCTAAGACTAAGGCATATCAGAGTGCGATGATTAATCAACCTTCCAGCAATGGTCTGTGGGTAAAGTGAAGATTCACAGTAACTTCGAGATGCATTATGAGGGTATGTGTTTGTGTGATCCAATCAGTGGTGACTGTACCGATTGTGATCAAACCATGGACAACGTTAACTCAGCAATAGATGTGAATACGTGGATCACTAACCCATCGCAGAAGTTCACTAATGCTGCCTATGGTGCTTGGTCATGGGCTGGTTGCACTAAATGGGCTGATCCCGATTGCCCTGATAATGCGGTTTACCCTGGTACTGGTGTTGATCCTACTTCTGCAATGAACAACTGTTGGGCATATGATTGGAAGTTGAATGATGATTTGCCGTGGAAGAGTAATTCTGTCTACGTTCGACAGAGTGACATGTCTGACGCTTTTTGGGATACCTTATGGGATTTGAGTCATCAGCCTGAGTGTAACGAAGGCCGTGCGGTCTGCATTATCACCTTCGAGTATTATGGTGGTAAGATGCTCGAGGAGCCCACCGACTGCTCTGGTGATGGTCCATGTACCTCCTTTGTTCATCGTCATCAAGGATGGAATATTCAGGTCTCATCTCTGTGGCGTAAGGGTGATTCTGCTGGTATGGAGACTTCTACTAATTGGGTTGCTAAGGCTTTTGCAGCTATTGATCAGTATAGTTCTTTGAAGGAGAGTTATCAGAATTATATAAGCAACCAATGGACGGTCGAGCCTTGGAAGGACAAGTTCTTCCCTGGTCAGAATGTTAGTCCGGATCACTGGAAGTATCGCTATTTCGGTCCATCATCCAATGGGGTATATAAACGTCTACAGGACGTGAAGTGCCGCTACAATCCGTATAATTTGTTTACAACACCGGCTACAGCTGATATTGTAGTTGAACTTCCCGATGATTGTTCTATCTCAACCTAGTCGTTTGACTGAGCGGTAGAGCTTCTATTCGTATCATATTTCTAGTGGTGGTTTTCCTCTCCCACACAACTAACTTTTTCTTCTTCGCTACTTCACCTAATTGCTAGTTACTCTCAAATCTGAACAGAACCATTCTGCTATCTCGTCATTTGTCTCGAACTGTATCGCATCCTGACGGTGCAATTTCTTTGAGAGAATTGTTGTGAAGAATGTGTGTTGTGTTGGTCAACTGTTCTTCGACGTGTCCGTGTGTTTAGTTCAAGTATGATGTATCGCTACACTTTATAAATATGTAGCAACCTTTTTGAACTATCAGCTCCGTTGAGCGGAGGTAGAGGGTTGGTATCCGAGAAGGAAAGATTGTGTGCGTGTGTGTGAGTTCAAAGTCCAACACCAACAGCACGGCTTAGTTAGACTCGTATCGATGGGCATTAGCTCCCGAGGGATCAGCTTCAGCCTTTTAAGTTGTCATGCCAATGAGTTTTGTCTTTGGGGTGAGATAACCTCTGCCAATGTACTTCCTTTCGCCTCGGCAGGATCTGCCTCCACAACTGCGGGAGCTGTGTACGATTGCGGACCACGGGAAGATTGTATTAAAATTCCTAATTTACCATAGACCACCCAATTATGTTCCTTCGCGACAATGTGTTCGTTGTTCGGAACTGCAGTTTCATGAGTGTCTTATGTCAGAACTTCCCCGTCAGTGTAACTCCGTATTGCTGTCCGGGACAGCCTGTCCCCATTGCTTTTTCGGTCATTTGCTCACTATGGCTATTTTGTTACGTGGTACGATTCTGCTTCTTTGCCTATTCTGTGTTGTTGTGTTTGGCACAGTTTTACAAGCCCCTCCAACCGAAGGCGCATGAGGAGCATCCGGATGAAGCCTTCTGAATATAGGTTCCTGCTGTCACCTCCGACCATTTTGAATTACTGCGTGAATCGACTATAACCTCTTTGACTATAACGCGAAACGCACTTGCAACTCGGCATGCATTTGGTTTCATCGTATAACTCAGCTGCATCACAAGAGTACTTCAAGTTTGTCATTGAGTGGCGAACCATCTCCCGAATGTAGGTGCTCCAAGTTGTCCATCCGCAGGTCTCGTCTGAGGCGCTACTTGCCATCGCTGAGTTGCTGTCGTATAGCCGAACCTTCCAGTTACTGGAGGCGCCACGAACTGGGTATTCGAAAAACTAGGATGATAACAATCATACGCCCACTCGCATGGATAGCCGTGACTCACGGCGAGATCTCGTGCCATTGAGGCACGGTCCTCGCTGATAGCGGAAAGCCGCCGAGCGGAACCTGACAAGAGCAGCAATTCGAATCAGCCTATGTTACTCCTACCTGCGAATCTCCATAGACACTTGGCGTGGAGGTTGTCATTGAGTTCAACCGTATACGGGGTATTCCCAGAGGACCTAGCCAAAGGAGTAAACTGTAAATTGAAACTCAGCGTTGCACATGGTCAACCACGTGCATTTACGACAATGAGAGAATTCTGATTGAAAATTTTGGGGAAATCTTATTGGTTTCTGTACACTTCTACCCTAAGCCGTGTATTACTAGTGCGTAAACTCAGCCGAAAAAGGCGAAAATATATTCCAACTCGCAAGGTGTCTTTTCCTCACCAGCAGGGAATCCCATATGGCTAGACGTTGTCGATGAGGCCGATAGCCGCCGTGCATCTACAGAAGAATTGAATCATACCAACCGCAACATCGTTGGTACTCTGTGCTTGGCCACTGTATACTGGTAGATCAGCCATCTCGTCTACTTGCGAGTCGCTGCCTGAATATTAGAAATTTCCAACTAGCCGAGCAGCAGAATTTCATACGTCTTTCCTGCGGTCTCACAGGCGTGTTACGTGTCATCAGCCTACTGTAATCTCCCTGCTCTTCGTGTTTACTCTCTATGAACATTTTCTCAGCTTCCAAGTAATATGCAAACCTATGATAAGATCAGTCTGCGAGTATACGCACATGTGTTGGTGACAAAATGAAAATTCTGTGAAAAGTTTAGGAAGTTTTCTTTTCGTTTTTGTACACTTTTACCTCAATTCGTATGTAAACATCTATAATCAATGTGGGAACTCCCGAGCTCAGCTGAGAAAAGCGACCATATATTTCTACTCCAACACTGATGATGGTCATCATGCAAAGCTTCACGTACATATCTCTGAGTTCATCAGCCGTATCGTTTCCTTCTATTTTGTTATAAGCCATCTCTAGTTCCTCCAGCTCCTGTAGATCTTCTAAATATGTTCGCCCACAATTCGGGACTGAACTCTCCACGAGTTCATCGTAGTACTCAAACACGTGATTCTGAAGTCGATCCGTGCTGGGGAGAAAAGTCACAACATAACGATCGATTTCTTCACTGCTGTAAAAATAGTTCTTTTTGAACTCGAGTGTCGATGAGTTTCCTTACGTCAGGATAAACCGAATCACTCCAAACAATTTTTTATCACCAGGTGCTTTCATCATAGAGGACTCTATTGATAGTTACACTCGTTCTCCGAATCGCCGTAATTATTAATGAATAATCCATCATGCACGCACGCACAACACTAAATGGCATTTGTTGCAATATATACTCCGCTGAGCGAAGAATATAAACATGTTCAAATACATGCGGTGGTGACAATATGGAAATTCTGAGGAAATTTCGGGAATTTCCTATTGATTTCTGTACACTTCTACCTAAATTGATATAGGAACTTCTACTGAGAAAAGCAAGCATATACTCCTCCAAGAGCTCGTTGAACTGGTTGTAATAATCTCACACTCAACTGCCGCTCGAGCTCTGCCAGCATAGTTCCAGACAAACATTCAATTTCATCAACACTCTCCTCGACATACGAATAATCGTCTTCACTGTTGTCATCATGAACTGAGTCTTCTCCTACGACGGGACATTCCTAACAAGCATAAGTGCACGAGTAGCCGCGGTTACAAGGACCCGTACATGCCTGGTCTCCTTGGAGAAATGTGACTGTCGCCATTCTGATAAAAAGAGTAGTAGTAAAATGATATGTAGTTGACAACTTCAAGTGAGCTCAAAAATGACTCTGAATTTTCCCCGAATTTAATACCAATATCACCAACAAAGTGAAACGATATGCAGTTCGCAACTTAAAATTCGGGAAGAAATATAAATACTGCATTTAAAAATTACTTGAAGTTATGTATGCAATCCAAGGCGTCAAAGAATTCAGTAGCGCTATCACCGAACGAAGCAGGAATGTGATAGTGTATTGTACAGGCGGTGGAGCTCGTTATCAGCGTGGATATAACAGTTACGTTTGTTATTGGAAAATATCAACACTCCTAGAAGCAGTATGAAGAGCATATATACACAGTTAAGTTTGCTATTAGAATATATCAACACTCCTAGAGGCAGTATGAAGAGCATATATACACAGTTAAGTTTGCTATTAGAATATATCAACACTCTTAGAAGCAGTATGAAGAGCATATATACACAGTTAAGTTTGTTATTAGAATATATCAACACTCTTAGAAGCAGTATGAAGAGCATATATACACAGTTAAGTTTGTTATTAGAATATATCAACACTC